TGATCTTCGTCTAAAACTTAGTGGCTTCATTCTGAAGAACCAGCCTAGGAAAGGCGGCAAGAAAGACAAAGCTGAACGCAAGGCCGCTCGCAAGGCCAAGCAGCAAGCTCTGCAGAACGGCAACAAAGAGAACGGCCAGGGAAGCGGCGGCGAGAATTCCGAGAACGGTTCCAACGGGAGCGGTGACAAGATTGAAGACGAGGACGATGCTGGTAGCGACGATGAGTTCACTCGCAAGATCAATGCTGACGCCCAAGTTATTGACGCCCCTGCCGTCGTCAGAGATGACGACTGGGCCGTCGATATGTCCGAGAAGGCCGTCAAGGCCCGTCAGAGCCAGCTCCCCAGCGAGTTCCGTCAGAAACTCGTTCTCGGCGGTGCTGAGGATGATGACGATGAGGGAGAGAGCGGTGGTCACACCGTCTACGACACCCTGGGTGACTGGATCCAGGAGGAAGCTACCAAGGCTGGTAGCATTAACAAGGTTGATGATATTCAAATTTATGTGAAGGCCAAGGAGCTTGGAATCGAGACCAAGCACAAGACTGTCTTGGTTTTGGTCCAGACTTTGTTTGATGAGAACATCCTCACTCAGATTCCTAAGCGCGCTGCAATGCTCAAACAGGTATGTCTTAGATGAACGCTATACTAATTACGTCGATTATATACTAACATTTATTAGATCATAACGTCGGAACGTCATGAGAAGGCCCTGCTGGGCGGTCTCGAACGTCTCCTTGCCGCTCAGGGCAAGGAGCACCCCGAGCTGCTAACCAGTGATAAGATCGTCAAGATCCTTCACCAGCTCTACGACAAGGACCTCCTCGGCAGTGAGGACATGATCAAGAAATGGGGATCCAAGGCGAGCAAGAAATATGTGGATCTTTCTACTTCCAAGAAGATCCGCCGGGCTGCCGAGCCCTTCATGAAGTGGCTGGACGAGGCTGAAGAAGATTCCGACGAGGAGTAAGTAATGGACTTAAATTGCACGTATTAGCTGTGGTTCGATGGATATCATTGGTAGATTGTCGATTTTGATTTTCATGCTTAGTTCTTCTCTGTGATGTGCCTCTGAGGTTCTCCTTTTGTCATTATTGGCTTCCAAAAAGTTGTGCGCTAGTAGTAAAAATAATTCTCTAGGCTTCTATGCGTAGAGAAAACTACAGCGGTTTCGACCAGCAAAACGGATATTGTATCTTTCTACTCTGCTTGGACGCCGAGATAAGTTGTTGTTGGTTTTGAGTCTACTGAGCTGAATTAATAGCAACTATTCCACTCTAAAAATGGTTTTTGCTATATTTTTTATTGTAGGCATCTTGTGATATGTGAATTCGACTAGGGCTTGGTGAAATCTCGGGGGGGGGGGGGGTGCTTCATTGGTACGAAACATCTACTGCGTTCTGATACCTCAAGATATTTTTATATCGGACGGGTATGTCGGCATCTCTAATCCCAAGCATAATGATATATTTCAAGTGCAATAACATCGTCGTATCAGGTATCTATTCCAAAGGGGCTTACCATCTTCCGGAGTGCCAACTACCCCTAGATATCCCCCCCCTATTTCCCCGTATTTCCCCCTATACTCTAAAAAATCCAATTGGCTTAATTACAGAAGAGCTATTCTCGCAGAGTACATATATATCAATCCTCAGTTTAATTTTCATTAGCCAGATTATTACTCTGTAGGTACATAAGTTAGCACTTCAAAGGGATAATAAGTCTCGTTACGGCAGGCAGGGTGAGATGTACATAGCAGAAAGACGACTCGTATTTCTATACTTGAGCCTTATATTTACCTACATAGGTATAACCACGTATAACTCATGTGCAGAGGGCCTAATTGTATTGTATTGCTCTACTTATGCCCATAACCGGCTGCTATGTAGCTAGCTGGCTTTTCCTTAATTCTTGGTTCTTGATTCCCCTAACCCCTAACCCCTGATTCCATATAACGGCCTCGATACCTATGTCCCTTCCCTAGCCGACCAAAACGCCTGTCCGAGTACATGTACATAGTAACAGCAAGGAGAAATACATAATACAAGCAACTTTATAACAGCTCTACCCCAAACGAGAATAGTGCCAGACCATAAGCTTCCCCGGGATTTCGTTCAGGAAATTGATTCGTTGTGAAAAGGGATGAAGGACGACCATGGAACGACTATTTCCACAGTTTGAAAGAAGAGCGGGCGTAATCGTATAAGCTCTACCATTCGACGCCCTGCTGCTCCTTGCCATCCTTGTTCTTATCGTCGTCGTCGAAGGCGCCGCCGGAGCTCTGAGCCACGTCCGGATCTCCCCAGCCCGTGTTGGCGCCCCAGCCGCCGTTACCGTTACCACTACCACTCTCGGAAGCCTGGTTGTTCTCAGATTTACCATTTCCCTTTTGCTTCCCCTTCCCCTTCCCTTTTTTGCCATTACCATTTCCACCAGCAGGGGGTCCGACGTTGTCCGGACTGGCGCGAGGTTTCGAGTCCTCGTTCTCTGATGGTGGATTACTGACCCAGCACCCAGGCGGTCCCTTAGGCGGAGTACTGCGCTTAGAGCTAGCTTTAGATCTCTTGCCGCCATTATTCCTACCATTATTACTGCTATTGTCGCCATCCTTTTTGTCGCTCGCATCACCATGCACCGCCACATTATCAATACTAGCATTGCCCCCAGCCGGTTCGGAAGAATTGCCATTGCTATTATCTTCGGCCGGCTTGGATTGATCTGTAACCCCTGTAGTGGTTTCTTGCGCATCCTTCTCACCCCATGAATTATCACCAACAGTAGCGTCATTATTGCCGTCACCCCAGCTGGCACCACCTCCCCAGTCTCCACCGTTGTTATCACCAAAACTTCCATTACCGGTTTGGTTACTGTCATTTTGGGGTGCAGGACTGAAGCGTTCCGAGTTGGTCTTATATAATTCTTCCGCCCTTGCAATCACATCATCAAAGGACCCGCCTCCTCCAGACTGCTCAGCTTTGTCGGTATCCTTGCTATCATTCTTTCCCTCCTCTTTGGATTCCGAGGCCTTTTGCGAACCATGATCACTCTGAGTGCCCCATGACTTGCCCCTAGCCCCTTCGCTCCCCTGAGGTTTCTCGGGATCGGTAATCTCGATACTCGGAATGACGTTCGATTTTCCACCACGATCACTCCTTGAATTTGTTTCAGCCTGCTTCGTCGGCTTCTTGGTAGGTGTACTGTGTTGTTCAGACCACGCTTCGTTATTCTTTCGGCTGGGGTCTGGTGTAAAATTAGAGCCCTTGGCTCCCTGGGCCTCTTCAGGAGGCTTACCAATCGTCACGCTACCGTATCCTTGGAACCAGGAATTATCTGCAGGCGCTCTCCGAGTTGCGGCTGGAGGATGTTGGGGGGGCTCTTGCTGGGGGGGATAAGGTGGTGGTTGTGGTGGTGCAGGTAGCGGAGGCTGTCCCCCAGGGAAGGGCTGGAACCCAGCAGCTTGCCACGGATTCTGTACTGGGTATGACACGTTAACGGTTGGGTTCTGGTTTACATATGGCGCATTGGGGTAGAGTTGTCCATATGCGTTGCCGTAATGCGGCCCATGATATACGCGCATGATTCCGTGTACCCCGTCAAAGAAAGCATTGGGCCGAGGATCGTTGGGTAATTCGACAGCGTGCTCAACCTGCAACATCCGAGCATGAGGTGGCATAAGGAAGTTTGCTTGCTGGGGTGCATATGTAGGATTCTGGGGTGGATATTGATTCGCTTCTGCTCGCTTCCTTTTGATTGCGTCGGCCTCTTGAAGAATCTTATCCTCAGCTAAATTGTCTTGCTTGGATGCTGCTTCTTTCTCCTTGGTATCCTGCTTACGACTGTCCTTTTGCTTGTATTGTTTTTCATTCTTGTCCTCGCTGTCTGATATTCCTTCCTTGGTCTTCTGGTTGTCTTGCTTATTCTTTTTCTTGTTCTGCTTTCCCTGCTTCGTTTTCTTACTTTGGCTATTCCGCTTCTTCTGCCTGTCCTTATTCTTCCCCCTTTCCTTGGGAGGCTCTTTCTCGGACTTAGACTCGCTTTCGGATTCGCTTTCACTTCCAATTTCTTCGCCAGTCCCAGCCTCGGTATCAGTCTCAGTTTCAGTCGTCTCCACTTCACTGTCGGATTTCTTATTGACATGTTTGGACTTTTGCTTAGCTCTTCGTTTGCTACTTCCTCCTTTGGACTTCAGTGCTTCTGCTTCCTTAGCTTTCTTCGCTTTGTGTCTGGCGTGTACAGCAGCTGCATTGTTGCTTCCATCCGCGGTCGAGACGTTTTGCTGCTTCTTGCTCTTTCCTTTAGTCTGATTTGTCTTCTTCAATCTCCTCCGCGCTGCAATGCAGTTTGTACAGGGACAATCTAGGATTAGATCTTCGTCTGTAGCCGCTTCATCATCGCTGCTATTAACTTCAACCGCTGTACTGCTAGCATCTGTGTCCACGTCAAGTGAAGACTGGAGAGGTGGTTCCTTGGCTTCAACCTTATGGGCGTTGTCTGTGAATCGAACTTTCTTTCCACGGGGCAGCCTAGTTCGTCCCGTTCTAGGATATGTAAGCTTCAAAATGTCGGATTCGTATTCATCGTCAGTCTCGATTTGGAGTGCCAAAACTGGACGAGGTTTCTTAGGCGTCGAACTATGAGGTGCGTTTTGGCCGGCCACCCACTCATAAAATGAATTGGGTGGCATATTACCAAGTCGACTTAAATTATCCGACTAGACCTATCAAATCCTAAATTGTGTCGAGTAACTCCTCAATATGGTAATAAAGGAGGGGACTCGAAGGCGGTATCGAGCACCGAATAGGTATAATTAATCGTATGATAAATATTCAATCTCGTAGTAAAATATGAAAAAGAAGGATAGTATTAGGATTGACAGGATTGACAGGATTGGGCGGAAGAATCAGAAAACTTCCAAAGTTGAGTCAGGAGGTTGTTGTTGAATATAGTCAAAACTGTGTGATGAGGTTGGGTTTGCTTATCAATGGACAAATATGATTGTCTAACCTAGAAACTGAAGTGGGATTTTGGAAGTTAGCCATATCTGGGTACGTAGACTGCCTAAGATAAAAAAGGGAATCGCGAATGATTTGGGCAAGTCCCTGTTTCCCTGGTGGTGAATGAAGAGTGTTTCCTCACGTCGCGTCGCCCTTTCCACTCGATTATCGATTATCCACGGCAACAACAACATGCATGCATTATGTATATCCGATATGATATTGCATGTACATGTAATGTGTATAAGCGCAACACCTGTAGTATTCCAATAAAGTAATCAAATTCGCGTATACTTAAAAAATCGCCATGTGAGACTCATAATTATAACTTTGACTTCTCATCCAACTCCATCTCTTTCCACTTCTTGTTGGCGCGAATATTTTGCCAGTACACCCACGCGCCTGCAGCAACACCAACCGGGGGAACGAGGAGACATATCCAATTCCACCACGGAGGACTGCTCTTTCTAATTTCTGCGAGAGCGGCATCTATATTAGTTTTTAGTTCTTCCTTCGAACCGTCGTTCCATATAACTACTCCCTTCCCCTTCCCCCTTGCCTCGCATCTCTTCGCTTTCAACCTCACGTCCGTCTGGCTTAGAACGCGATTCTGCGCGTCTTCTCGGCTTAGATGGCGGTCACGTTGTCTAAGTCTTTTCATTTGCACCTCGGGGTCTCTGACAGCTACTACCATCACCACGCCGGACAGCCTATCCCAGCCGCTTTCGAAGAGTAATGGTACGTCCAAGACGACGGCCCAATGACCTTTCACGTAATTTAGAAAGATGGACCTGTACACCTCCTTTCTCACAGCTGGGTGCACAATGTGATTTAGAACATCTCGGTCTTTCTTGCGCTCTTCGCTGTTGCCGAAGACACGTCTACCCAGCGCCGGTCTGTTCAGTGGTCTGCCTTTGCCGTCTGGGCCATCGGCAGGCATAGACTCGGAGACAGGAACTAGCAAGTCCGGCGTCGTAGGGCCGAAGTGCTTCACGATGGCTTTATAGCCACTGGTTCCAGGCTCTACAACTTTGCGCGCTAGTATATCTGCATCGATGATTGGTAGTGAGTGAGGCGGCGAGGAAAGGATGGAAGACACGGTTGATTTGCCAGTGGCAATCGAACCTGTCAAACCAATGAAGAGCATAGTGATGATGATGGCTAACTGATAGTTAACGGTTCCGGCGTGGATTATCTTGTATGTAGGTGGTCAGTCAATCAAAACATAGGGACCGCATCGATAGAAGTTGTCTCGATATAGTTGGACAATGGACCAAGGGGTCACCCCTCCTGCCCTGCAGATAGATGAGCCGATGAGCCGCACACTTCTTGTCTCATCTAGGCTAAGCGCGCCTTATCTAATCTACGCTAGTGTTTGATCACTCAGTTGCTTGTTTGGGAAACTTGGAGAATACCTCATTGGAGAGTATTCCGTAGAGTACCACATGTATATGTATCATGTGTTCTATTAAATCTTAAATAATGCATGCAGGTTTCGTACGATGCAGATTCTAGGAAATGTCAAGGCTTTCTAATAAGACTCTATATATGATAGACGATTTAAATTTTGGTATAGATCTTAGTAAACCCTATTTAGCCTAACCTTAGTTATTACCTTTAGTTATCCTCTTTAAGCTAGTTAGTAGTTATACTTGTATCATATGTACCTACATGTATAAACTTGCTGGTGCCTCGAACATGCAGACAACCCATTTCGATGGAAGGTTGCGTTTCTAAGTTAACTACCTACATGTATGAAACTGTTCTTCCGGCAATCACTTGCATAGGTACCTATCAAAGGTAGGCACTATATTATACATACATGTCTAAGAGGTATGTAAGTGCATTAAGCAGGCTGTGATGCAGGTAGCAGCCCCGCTAGATTGCGGGGGAGGGGTAACTTCTCAGGTGAGGGGCATTTATTTTTACAGCCAGAAAATTTTGGAAGAAGTTACAACATGTACACACATAATTGTCACTTCCCTTAAAACCCAGGGCCGGGCTAGGTTATAGTCCCTATAATCAACAATTGATCCCATCTTGACAAATTATACATTTTAGCCATGGGGATCGAATACCCACTCCGTGTTCTTCTCATTGGCAATGGCGGGAGAGAACACGCAATTGCGTGGAAGCTCAGCCAGTCGCCTCTGGTAGAGTCAATTATAGCTGTTCCAGGAAACGGAGGCACAGCGACATGTCCCAAAGTCACCAACAACACTTCAGTGTCAGCCGAAGACTTCCCAGCTTTACTCGAACTCGCAAAAGCAAATAACCTCAACTACGTGATCCCTGGTCCCGAGGCCCCTCTTGTCGCAGGAGCTGTTGACTTCTTCGAAAATGCGGGTATTAAGAGTTTCGGCCCTTCAAAGAAGGCTGCGCAGATGGAGGGTAGTAAGACCTTCTCTAAGGACTTCATGAAGAAGCATAATATACCAACAGCCGCCTACGAAAACTTCTCCGACTACGACAAGGCCCGGGAATACCTCGACCGCGTGCAACACGACGTAGTGATCAAGGCGAGCGGACTGGCTGCTGGAAAGGGCGTTATCATACCCACGTCGAAGGAGGAGGCGCATCAAGCTCTCAAGGATATTATGCAGAATAAGGAATTCGGGTCTGCGGGAGATGAAGTCGTTATTGAAGAGTTCTTAACTGGTGACGAGCTAAGCATCCTGACTTTCAGCGATGGTTACACAATAAAATCTCTACCCCCTGCGCAAGACCACAAGAGAATAGGGGAGGGAGACACAGGTTTGAATACGGGTGGTATGGGATGCTATGCGCCGACTAATATTGCTACCCCGGACCTTGTGGCGCAAATCGACCGAGATATTATCCAGCCAACTATCGATGGCATGCGCAAGGATGAGATGCCTTTTGTCGGTGTCCTTTTCACCGGGCTTATGATCACTTCGACTGGTCCCAAGGTTCTTGAGTACAACGTCCGATTTGGTGACCCAGAGACTCAGACTGTCCTGCCTTTATTATCGCAAGACACAGATCTGGCTAAGATCATGGTGGCCTGTTCAGAGCGCTACCTAGACAGCGTCCTTATTAACGTCGAGCCCAAATTCAGCGCAACCGTCGTCGTTGCTGCTGGTGGTTATCCCGAGTCTTACGCAAAAGGCGACGAGATAACCGTACAGACCCCTCCTAAAGACATCAACATCTTCCACGCTGGCACAAAACTAGCAAATGACAAGTTGCAAACAGCGGGTGGCCGAGTAATAGCCGCCAGCGCTACTGCTGCAGAGAGTCTCCGGGCCGCCGTAGACAAGGCCTATGAAGGAGTAAAGCTCATTCAGTTCAACAAGATGTACTACCGCAGAGACATCGCACATCGTGCCTTCAAGCCGACGGCCGATACCAAAGAAGCCCTGACATACGCAGAGGCAGGCGTCAGCATCGACGCCGGAAACCAGCTCGTCGAGCGGATACGAACTGCCGTCCGATCAACCAGGCGCGCCGGTGCCGACGCCGAAATCGGTGGCTTCGGAGGTGAAGTTGACTTGTCCAAGGCTGGTTTTTCGAGCGATGCGCCCATCATGGTCGGCGCCATCGACGGCGTCGGTACTAAACTCATGATCGCGCAAGCCACTAAGAACCACAGCACCGTGGGTATAGATTTGGTTGCCATGAATGTCAACGACCTCGTCGTCCAGGGTGCCGAACCCGTCATGTTCCTCGACTACTTCGGCTGCAGCCGCCTCGATCCCGAAGTCGCCGCCGTATTCGTCGAGAGCGTTGCTGCTGGGTGCCGTGATGCCGGATGTGCTCTAGTCGGTGGTGAGACCGCTGAGATGCCGGGTATGTACAAGGAGGACGACTACGATGCTGCTGGTGCTGCCATTGGCGTCATGCGTGCAAGCAGCCGGCTCCCGCGTTTAGACGCCATGGCCGACGGCGACGTACTTCTGGGTCTTGCCTCATCCGGTGTTCATTCCAACGGATTCTCCCTCGTCCGCCGCATCCTCGCGCGCGAGAAGCTCGACTACGCAAGCCCCGCCCCCTGGGACTCTTCTGCCAAGAACGTAGGCGAGGCCCTCCTAACACCAACCCGCATCTACGTCCGCTCCGTCCTGGCCTCGCTACCACAACTCAAGGGTCTTGCACACATCACCGGCGGCGGCCTCACCGAAAACGTGCCGCGCATGCTACCCTCCCGTCTCGCTGCCGAGATCGACGTAAGCACGTGGCAGCTCCCTCCCGTATTCCGCTGGCTGCGCGCCGCGGGCAACGTCGCGCCTACAGAGATGGCTCGGACGTTTAATACCGGCGTGGGTATGGTTGCTGTGGTTAGTCCCGGCGACGCGGAGGCTGTTGCGCAGAAGTTCCGGGAGAACGGGGAGACGGTGTATACTATTGGCAAGTTAACGGCTAGAGCGGAGGGAGCGCCGGGTTGTGTGCTGAAGAATCTGGATTCTTGGAGTTAGGTTAGGCTGGGGCAACTAAAAACGAAAAAAGGGGTAAGGTCTAGCTCAAGGAAGATGAGCTGATGGGATATGGTCGGTAAGGAGGGAGGTAGGCAGGGATTTATACTAAAATTCGCGAACGTCTTTGATTCAGTTGCATCTCGCCGATTAACTAGACTTCATACACACCTATATAAAAAGACATATAGCCTAGCCCTGTAGCTAGCTACTTTATATACCACGCTGGTGACAACAAAACCAATAAGACGATGTATGTATATGTGTGTGTATATTTGTATATTTGTGTATATGTATAAAACGATATGATATGATATGATGATATGATATGCTCATGCTCATGTCAGTCGGTCGGTCATATCAACCATGACGACAATAATAATAATAATAACGATGATGATAATAAATAAATCCACATCTGCGCCTCAACCGTAACCGTAACCGTAGTCGTAGTTCGAGTTGGAAAAAGAAAAGAAAGAAAACTCGAACAATGCGATCCAAGTAAACAAACAAGTAAGCGCCAACAAGCTCGTGAGCAATGTATCCCAATCTAGTCCAACTGAATAAACAATGAAGTAATTCGATCTATGCTGCTTATCAACACAATTTAGGCTGCGAATGCCTCAACTTACATATGCATACACCTATATCTCGTCGTTGACCCACTCCTCGCACACGACGGCGCCGGCGGCGTCTTTTGCGCATTTCTCCCATTCCTGGCACATACCGACCCAATTCCTCTTGACGCAGTGAGATGTCGTGGGTTCCGGCTTAGGGGCGGCGGATGTAGGAGTTGGCGTGGGCGGGGGCGAGGTGATTACATGGGCCGGGGAGGTTGTGGTGGTGGTATTGACGGTTGAAGTCGTCTTATCTTTACATCCCCACCAGCCTGGTGTTAAGCAGGTGGTAGTCGAGGTTGTGGTGACAGGGGTAGAGGTAGACGTAGTACTCGTGGTAGTAGTAGTAGTAGTAGTAGTCTCGTCTTTGCAACCGAACCATCCTGGGGTCTTGCAGGTCGAAGTCGAGCTGCTTGTAGTAGTAATGCTAGGAGTTCCCGTCGTTGTAGTTTCGTCAAGACAACCCCACCTATAAGTCGTTAGTTATGCTAATCTTAGAAAGGGCCGTTAAATCTACTTACCATCCGGGCGTCTGGCAGGTAGCCGTTCGAGTGCGCGTCTTAGTCGTGGTGGAGCTACTCGAAGTTGTTGTCTCATCCGTACTATTGCTCTCGTACATTTTCCAGTTCGCGCAGTCTCTGCAGTCTGGGGTAAACTTGCACTCTGGAACATCGTCATACTTTCGAATGACATCGTTGATCACAGATCGTATCTTGTGAGTTCCGATACCCACTCGCCAGCCATGATCGGCAACCGTGTCGTAAGTGCACTCGTAGCCGGTATGGCATGCCGACTCCATCGCGTATCCTGCGAAAGAACACGAGGCGGTTGCGCCATTGCATGTTCCTATGTAAATAGGATCGGCCGTATGTCCAAAGTGGTACGTTCCAGTGTACTGCCGCGTCTGAGGAAAGTTGGGGTCTGCGTGTGGTGGAACGGGAAGACCCAATCTTCCGGCTGCCAACGCCTCAGGGACGGCCTCGAAGGTCACAACAGGAAGTCCGTATGTCAAACCAAGTAGAGAGCTAACTGCTCCACCCAGTGAATGTCCGGCAACCCAGATATCTGATTCTGGATAAATCTCGGTAACATTTGCGTACAATTCCCTTACTGCCTGATAGTATCGATTTTCATCACGTAGAGCGGTCTTCACGCACGTGTTGTTGCAGCTGTAAGTGCTAGTTGCACAGTCGCAGACTTGGTGCCATGACCA